GGTACTGCCCGCTTGCCTTTGTCTTCGCTTGGTTGCCATAGTCCCCATGATGCTACGTTGTCGTTCACCATCACATCCAATATGAACGGAGCTCCAATTTGAATCGGGCCCAAGCCCTGATGCTGTAATACTGCTTCCTTTGCTGCTTGGAATGCTGTAGCTTGATCAATTCCCCATACAAATGCTGATTTCTTTCTTGTAACATTGTATATGGGGCGTAGCAGCAATCCTAGATGCGGTATAAATGCTCTCCAGTAACCAACTGCACCTAAAAACTTTTGGGCTTCTGTTAACGTCTTAGGTTCTGGAGAATTCTGGATTGTATCCAGCACAGGCTGAGGTATCTTCCGAACAGGCCCAGACCACATCATTCCTAGGAATTTAACTTCTTGGGTTGGACCTTGAATTTTGTCTTTATTTATTGCCCATCCCTGTCCAGTCATGTAATTCACTAGAACAGGTAATGCTTCTTTCACTTCCTCTTTAGATCCCGAGATCATGATGTCATCAATGTAGTGAAACACTGGAAGATGTAGAGTGAGGTGGCTTAAATCCCGTGCAACTAGTCCATGGCAAATCGTAGGTGAGTGTATATATCCCTGGGGCAAAACTTGGAAGGTATATTGGCGTCCTTCCCAAGTGAAAGCAAATTGATCTTGCGACTCAGGTGCAATAGGAATTGAAAAGAACGCATTAGCTAAATCTATTACCGCATGCCACTCCCCGGCCTGTTTGGCAATGTTTCCCACAATGGTGATAATATCAGGGACAGCAGCACTCAATGGTGGTGCTACCTTGTTGAGTCCCCGGTAATCCACCGTCATTCGCCATGAGCCATCCATCTTCTTTACAGGGAATACTGGAGCATTGAACGGACTGACAGCTGGACGAATTACACCTGACTGTAAAAGCTTGTCGATAGTTTCACTAATTTCTCGACATCCTCCGGGCAAACGGTATTGCTTCAGTCTTACCGGGTTGCACGGAGGAGGAACAATGACAGGTGTCCAATTTGCATTCCCTCGCACAATGTCTTTTACTGGTCTGAGATAGTATGGCTTATGAGGGAATCCAAACGTGAACACCCCCCACTGTGTCTCAATACTCTGCCCTAGTAACACATCTATTCCCAAGATATTGTCTGGCAATTCTGAAATCAAAACTTTAGCACTGAATCTTGGTCCTTTGTTAATTGACATAGCCACAACAGTTTGTACTGCTTTGGTAATTCTACCTCCTAAACCTTCTATTCTCACACAGGGTCCTGATAGCCTTGATGGATTACCATGCAGTACTGTGACTTCTGCTCCTGTGTCAACTAAAGCTAAAATCTTTGTTGGTCCTGGTCTTGTCCCCCACCACACAGTCAAAGGTACATAAGGGCGTCGGTCCCCGGCGGTTAAAGGGGACACATGTACCGCCGGAGGCCCACCATTCTGTCATTGTACAACAGCACTGTCCCAATCCATCAAATCATGTGTCATCAGATCTTTTACAGGATACAAGGATCTGACTTTACCATCACTCTCTGGCAGTGCTTGTTTCTCACTAGATGTAGTATGAGAGTAAGTCCTAGCACAATATTCTGTTGGAAACAGTGAAGACATATGTGGGTATGAATGTGGGGGGTGTTATCTTGGGCTTGAAGTGAGGGTGGGGGCACAGCATAAGGAGCACAATGTTGGAATAGAGGTATGGATAGAGGAGCTGTGTCTGTAGGCATGAGAGGAGTGTTTTTTAAATAACTAGAGGGAGGAGACTTTGGGACAAATGGGGCAGAGGGCATGGTATTGTCTGCCTGATCCTTGCATGCCAAATGTACCTGTACCTTTTTATTAGACCCTTTTTTTAGATTTAACCATTTTTCAAACATGGCAGGTGTTGAAATTCCATTAATTTGTTCTCATTCCACATTTGAAAACGATTAACTCTCAGCCTTGTTTTATTCCTAAACTTTCCCTGCTTTTCTCCCTCTATTGGTTCCACCATCTCCTCCCTCGTCCTGTTAGCGGCAAACACACCTTTCCTAGGGTTAGATTCTGACTCTAATTCTCCAATTTCAGCTAAATAAGTGGTGAGCTGATGTACCTTTACATTATTCCCCAAACTGCCCAGCAAAGACAATAAAGATGCCTTCATTTCCTGGGGTGCACTTTTTAAAAACCGAGACCGCATGCTGGCTGTGAATTCCTCCATGTCTGGACCTTCCCAGTTATCCTTGTTTAATCCCACCACACAACCCATAACTCTAATGCGGGTAATAGCATCCCTCGGTTTTGACCAGGGTGAAATGGGCTCAATGTCATTGCTAGATGGGAAGGCCACAATTATGGCATGCCGCACCATATCAAATAATGAAAAATTACCTCCAATCTCCCTCACCCTCCGTAATACCTGCATGAGCTGTGGATGCAGCGTCAGCTGCCCCATACATAATGCTTCCCTTGCATTCAACTGCACACTGTCAGCTCCTCCATCCCACATGCGCAATAACCATTCTCCCACATTTTCACCAACTTCATGCTTATACACCTTTGCCAGCTCCATGAGCTCTGTTTGTGTGTAACTTTTTACCACTTCATTCATCTCTTCATGTACACCATTTCTCAAACCACGCGCTCTATCTTGTAGTCTCCTTTTCCGCTGCTGTGTAATGATAGGACGGGCTTGTCGCCTGTCCACATCATTATCATCATCAGAAAAGGATACATACTCATCATCAGATGACTGTAGCGGTGCTTCAGGATCCCATATGGGGTTTGCAACCATTGCTCGCACTTTACTTACAGGCACTGGCTTTTTTCCTTTCTGTGACCTCCTGCGGTTAATCTTGCTTACCACTAAAGTAGTACATTTTTCTTCTAGGGCAGCCACCTGGCATGCATTACTACGCATACATTCTTTAGTCATAACTAATAAATCTTTTACATCCTGCAACTCTTTCTCGAGCGCTTTATTTCTCTGCACCTCGCGGCTAAGGGCCTGCACAACTATCCACCCTGTGGTGGCAGCGGCTTTCTGCACTTTTTTGGAGTATACTCCCAGGTCTAACCGAAATGCTTGAGCACCAAGTTCAGTACCAGCATCAGGATAGACAGGAGCTGCATACTTGATCAGCTCCTCAGCAATGGGTTTCCAGTTTTCTAAACTGGCCCACAATGGAATTGTCCCATACTTAGACGCCTCCTTCCCTCCTGCTCTATTACTTTTTTTTAAACAGAGTAAGCATCTTTACTCTCAGGGGGAACACAAAAATGCAAATATACCAATCAAAGACAATGCTTGTTAACTATATCTCTTTTCACTGTGCAACGTGACTGTGCTATAGGCTTATTCAATCTATATACACATTCAAATATTCTATATTTAGTGATTGTGCAGTATCCTGTTCACAGCGCCAGTTGTAATGGTAAATTAAGTAATTTCTTTATATTTATGAAGTTCTGAATTGCATAAATATAAAATAATACCACAAATAAAATAATAAAAGGTATACTGGTCAATCACATAAATATTAGTGAATATCTTGAATGAACAGACAAGAGGCAAAGTTTTGATGAAAGTATAAACAAAACTTTACTGGGAATACAATTATCAAGCACACAAAAAAGAAACAAATACTTTAAAAACATACACTGCTATAAACAATACATTCAGGTAAGAAATCTACTTAGCTCTATTCATGGAGATTCAGCAGCTTACACAGGATAATTGAATCAGCATAACACACAGAACAATGAGGTGAGTTCCTTGCCACATGTTAAATGGATTTACATGGGCACCTCTAAAGACACCTGGCTTCTTCCGACCCAGTCATGAAACTGAAACTCTAGTTTCTGGAAACCCCTTGAATAACCTCCCATCTAGTATCCACCCACAGAGGTAACATAACCAATACCTAATGGTCATCTCTAGGAGGCGGATACTACATGTGGTCCTTTGTGAAAGGAAGTGACTTAAGAATTCTCAATACCTTCCTAAAGCACATGTCTCATTGACTATGCGGCAGCCATCTTTATTCACTCGACCTCACAGTGCTCACTAGGCCACCTATAGGTCACTTCCTCCCTAAAGCACATGTCTCATTAAATATGCAGCAGCCATCTTCTTGCTCTTAATGTCACATAGCTCACTACTGCCCCTATAGGTATCATAAGTTATTGCACATGAATGGGAACACAATAATAGAACATTTATCATTGCCCATAACCAATACAATGTCTCATGGATCAGGTTTTATATACCTCATGAACTGTCCTTGCAGTTTTTATTATGTAGGTAAGACTGATCTTACACTTTGTGACAGGATTTGTGGACTCAGATTGTAACGGATCGCCTGGCACCCCGACTGGGTACCTCCGTTAAAGGATGCTCCTAGCGCTTCCTGAGGACTCCAAGCACTGCAGCAGACACCACAACCACCGAACCGGAGAAGCATATGAATCCTCTCAAGCATATGAATGCTGTAGACGGTTGAATAGGAACCATACGAATAGGTTTACTCTCCTAGCAGTCAAACTGGAACAGCATACAATAAATCCTTCCCCAATAATGAGACGACACTTCACTTTGAGGGTTAAGCAGGAACTCTCTGTACTGTCACATACAGTCTCTTTTATTCCCAATCCACAAACATAGTACAGCCCACAGGGCGTTACAAAACAACCAATCACATATCAGTTACATCCCACATATTCCCTCCCTTTATCCTGAGAGGAAACTCAATTATACATACAGTTAAAACATACTTTCTACCCAACTTTCATAACTCCAAAACCATACATCACATTCACATAAAATTACATATTCACAATCAATCCATTCAGGGGAACAACATATTCAAAAATGGCACAAATCAGACAAGGGGTTCAAAAGTTAGTAAAAAAGTCCTTTGTGGCTAAATGAAGCATGGCTTTCTGGCCCAAACCAGTTTCAGAGTCTTCTATCCTGGAGATAAGTAATTCAATTATCTCCCAGGACAGACACAAGACTCCATTAAGCACATGGTTGCAAAAAGACACAAAACACTTTAAAATACATAAAGTCACATTTACACATAACACACAGGCATTTCACATATCCCCAGATAGCTGGGATCTGAGTGCACATTATTAGATGAATGGCACTCAGATCACACAAATAAGCCTTTCTGCAGGGGAAATAAACAGTTTAACCTGCAGGACCATAGTCCAAAGGGAGCAGGCGAGCAACCAGGCTTCTCCAGTTCACAGTGGCGAGGTTGGTTTCGCCACACTTCTCCCCTTTACCAACTAGACTAACAGGGTATCTGACCTCCTGCCGGTCAGTGCCCTGGTTAGTCCAGCAACCCACCCACAAAACAGAAACAGCGGTACAGCCCACCCACAATAACTGGTTACTACACCTGGGTAGAGGAGAACTTTGTCCATGTCCAGGTGCCTCACCACGACTGTGTGGGCAACTGTTAGGCTGCCTTGGTGGGTTGCTGAGTGGGCAGAGACCAGCGGTACTCTGCCCTGATACCAGTGCTACCACGGAAGTAGCCTGGTGGGAGCCTGGTTGTGGGAGGGAGAGACCGACTGTCTCCCCTCTGGATACACCGCTCTGTGGCTGGGGAACAGGACCGACTGTCCCTACCCCTTGTGCTGTAAGTGCAGAGACTACGGTCCCATCTGCACTGTTGGGGGGTGTAACATCTCCCCTTGCTGGGTTAGGCTGCCACTGGAGAGAGGGTGTAACAAGCTCCTCTCTCTGAACTGTAAACTGCCGCTGGGGAGAAGGGGTATCAGGCTCCTCTCCCTGACACTCTCTCTGCTGGTGGAGAGGGGGACCAGCTGTCTCCCCTTTCATTATTTTGTCCTGTGGTTGGGGTGTGAGACTGACGGTCTCTGCTCCCTGCAGGACACTCTGCCGCTGGGGAGGAAGGACGGCACCTTCAGCTCCCTGGGGTACACACTGCCGCTGGGGAGGAAGGACGGCACCTTCAGCTCCCTGGGATACACACTGCCGCTGGGGAGGAAGGACGGCACCTTCAGCTCCCTGGGATACCCACTGCCGCTGGGGAGGAAGGGCGGCACCTTCAGCTCCCTGGGGTACACACTGCCGCTGGGGAGGAAGGACGGCACCTTCAGCTCCCTGGGGTACACACTGCCGCTGGGGAGGAAGGACGACACCTTCAGCTCCCTGGGACTCCTTTTTGGCCAAATCTACTAGAGATTGCAGGTATTCTCCTACTAGTTTCCTGGCGAGCTGCACGGCTCTCTCTGGGGGTTGGGTCCAAAGGTAGACAGCACCTCATTAACCTCTCTGTCAAACTCCTCCTGAGTGTAGTCATACGCCATGCTTGCTCTGCTGAAGTTAGTTCTTTTGTAGATAGGGTCGCTGTACGGGTACTAGCATTGCCCTCAATTTGTAAATCCACGAACTGTGTCTCCGAGCTGCTTTACCTCGCACTAGGACGCCATCCCACCGCTGCCACCAATGTAACGGATCGCCTGGCACCCCGACTGGGTACCTCCGTTAAAGGATGCTCCTAGCGCTTCCTGAGGACTCCAAGCACTGCAGCAGACACCACAACCACCGAACCAGAGAAGCGTATACCTTCTCTCAAGCATTTGAATGCTGTAGACAGTTGAATAGGAACCATACGAATAGGTTTACTCTCCTAGCAGTCAAACTGGAACAGCATACAATAAATCCTTCCCCCAATAATGAGACGACACTTCACTTTGAGGGTTAAGCAGGAACTCTCTGTACTGTCACATACAGTCTCTTTTATTCCAATCCACAAACATAGTACAGCCCACAGGGCGTTACAAAACCACCAATCACATCACAGTTACATCCCACATATTCCCTCCCCTTTTCCTGAGAGGAAACTCAATTATACATACAGTTAAAACATACTTTCTACCCAACTTTCATAACTCCAAAACCATACATCACATTCACATAAAATTACATATTCACAATCAATCCATTCAGGGGAACAACATATTAAAAAAATGGCACAAATCAGACAAGGGGTTCAAAAGTTAGTAAAAAGTCCTTTGTGACTAAATGAAGCATGGCTTTCCGGCCCAAACCAGTTTCAGAGTCTTCTATCCTGGAGATAAGTAATTCAATTATCTCCCAGGACAGACACAAGACTCCATTAAGCACATGGTTGCAAAAAGACACAAAACACTTTAAAATACATAAAGTCACATTTACACATAACACATAGACATTTCACATATCCCCAGATAGCTGGGATCTGAGTGCACATTATTAGATGAATGGCACTCAGATCACACAAATAAGCCTTTCTGCAGGGGAAATAAACAGTTTAACCTGCAGGGCCATAGTCCAAAGGGAGCAGGCGAGCAACCAGGCTTCTCCAGTTCACAGTGGCGAGGTTGGTTTCGCCACACAGATCTACTATTACCTCAGCATACTGGGATTCTAAAACAGGTAAACCAGTAGCAAAATATTTCTCGCAAAATCAATACAGGCTATATCCTTTAAAATGTATAGCCACTGATCATGCACCCCTCTGGCTAGAGGTATGCATTGATCAAGAATGTTACTTCAGAGGGCGATGTATAGGGTCTAAACTTTGGACACTTTGGCTCCAAAGGGTTAAATTAATATATTTTGTTCTGCTGTGTCTTGGAACTAGATGATGGTGGGAATGTCTTTTATATATCTTCAACTCTACACACGTTACAAACCACAAATTTACTATATTGTTTTTGGAATCAACACTATTCATGCACTTTTTTCCTTCTTAATTTATTTTCCTCTCTTCACACTTAATTTTCGATCATTTTTTTCACTTTATTAATGGTTGAGTTTTACTTTGTTTAGCATATACTGATCAGCCACAACATCAAAACTAAATTATATAATTAAAATCACACCTGTGTATGGGTGGAATATATTAGGCAGAACGTTAGCAGTACATTTTTGAGTTTCATATATTGGAAGCAGGAAAAATGGCCACGTGAAAAGCTCTGACAAGGACCAAATACTGATGACTAGATGACTGGTGTGACAGATCCATCTGTCTAAGTATTACCTGCTGGTTCGTCTATTTTGTTGTGCATTCGTGGAAATACCTGCCTGTACGTCCCTGTTCGTTTATTTCAGTTATACCGAAGAAAACTACCGAACGGACGGCCACCCAGAAGAGAAGTGTCCTGCTGGTTAACCTATTGGCCTCAATTAGAACCTTGTGGTTAACCGCAGACACCTCTTCATTCGAACCGTATGCAGGGTGGTCGTCGTTCGCATTCCAACCATGAGGCGGCGGCCATTTTAAACACGCGAATGAACAGCGGTGTTCGACAAGGAACTTATGGAACTCCAAACGGACACTTTTTCTACCGAACACCGCTGAAACTGCCGACCGCCCTTCTTATCATTGGGCATACGAATGCCGGTCCGTTCTGGACTTTTTATTGTACGAATGGACTTAACCATCCCGTGGAGTCATTCGTATACCAAAAGAACAGTGTGGAAGACTTTGACTCCATGGCGATTGAACTGTGTGCATTGGGTCTGAGCGCTATTCGATAGTAATGTGCGCTCAGACCTAGGCTATCTGGGGATACGGTATACAAATTAAATGCATTCTGTAGTTTAACATTTATGTATTTTTATGTGTTTTTAGTATACCATATAAAATGGTGGTTTGCCTCTATCCATGGAGATAATTGGATTTCTTCCCAATTATCTCCATGATATAGAGGAGGGATTTACTTGTACAAAGGGGAGTGTTTATACCTGAGCCACTGTGATTGGCCACTGTACTTCATTTGTCCCAGTCTTCCATCTGGTCCCCTAGGGGAGTGTCCACTAGGTGGGAGACCTGCTTAACCCCTTAAGGACCGAGGACGGTTCAGGACCGTCATCGGCATTTTTGCGTTGCCGACCGATGACGGTCCTGAACCGTCCTAACGGTCAGAGCTACTTACCTGATCGCCGTCGTTCCCCCGGCGGCGATCAGCGTGGCTCCGGTTGTGGGGAGACTGCCTGCGGCCCAGACAGTCTCCCCACACTGATTTAGGACCCCTGTGGCCATGTGATCGCTCAACACAGCGATCACATGGTCACAATAGGTGTCCATGTGTCTGCCTGCAGGGGGACTGTCTGTGCTGACAGGCAGTCTCCCTGCTAGTGTAAAATCAGTAAAAAAAATAAAGTTAATGTTAATAAAAAATAAATAAATAATTATATAGGTGTATATATGATATATAGACATATATTATATCTAAATAATATGTCTATATATCATATATATATAATGTCATACTAAGTGTATTTTTAAATACACTTATAATTAAATTACACACGTGTATATATATATATAATATATATAATAACTATATATATTGTATATATATATTATTATAAAATATAACTAATAAGTAATTTAAATTAAATAAATTTTTTTTTCAATAATAATAAAAAATTTAAAAAAAATTATATAGCTATATGAAATTTTATTCTAACTGTATTTTAAAATTAATATATATATATTTATATCAAAATACACTTAGAATGAATTTGTATATATATCTATGTATATAAAAATAAATAAAAATAATAAGAAATATACATACGTCCATATACAAAATTACATAAATAATTATATAAATATACACGTAGACTTCAAATATATAAATATGCATATATATTTAAATTCTACGTGCGTATTTATGTAATATTTTTACATAATTCAGTAATTTTATTGATTGCAATTTGAGGGACCTGCCTGCCAACCCAGGCCGAAATTCCAGAGAATTTAATTTGCTAGCACTGTATTTTACCCTGTAACGTTCTACGACACCCTAAAACCTGTACATGGGGGGTACTGTTTTACTCGGGAGACTTCGCTGAACACAAATATTAGTGATTCAAAACAGTAAAACATATCACAGCGATGATATTGTCAGTGAAAGTTACTTTTTTTGCATTTTTCACACACAAACAGCACTTTTACTGATGATATAATTGTTGTGATACGTTTTCCAGTTTTTAAATACTAATATTTGTGTTCAGCGATGTCTCCCTGAGTAAAACAGTACCCCCCATGTACAGGTTTTATAGCATTTTTGAAAGTTACAAGGTCAAATATATGGGTCAAATATTTTTACATTGAAAATGGCCAGGTTGGTTACGTTGCCTTTGAGAGCGTATGGTAGCCCAGGAATGAGAATTACCCCCATGATGGCATACCATTTGCAAAAGAAGACAACCCAAGGTATTGCAAATGGGGTATGTCCAGTCTTTTTTAGTAACCACTTGGTCACAAACACTGGCCAAAATTAGCATTCAATTTAGT